ATTCTTAACAACCTGCGAGCACGACCGCAGAGCCCAAGGGACACCTGCTTGAGGCCGGTCACGTACGGCCTTTTTTGTGGGTAGTTTTTAAAGTGTTAGCTCTACTTACTAGCGTCTGTTATCGACCTCCACCTGAAGCTACTCCCAAGCCCGGATGAAGGAGGAGAGTTGACGGCCCCAACCCGTAGAAAACTAACTCTCTGAAAAAAAAACGCTAACCAGGAGAAAAATGCCTGTTATTGCTTAAGGAGCATAGGTCGTCGACCAGGATTCATTCTCTAACCAACTTTATCCTCTACTCTCTCTCTCTTCTAGTTCTGCCCGATTGTTATCCAGTCATTTTAAGTCGGCCTACAATTCCCTAGGCAAAGTGTTTTCGATCTAGCTGTTTCCCTTTGACAATGAGAATTCCGAGTTGGGGCTTGGCCTCGTCACGCAGTTCCGTGACTTCCATATAATAATTTGTGACTCATCCACTTTCAGAGCTTTCTCGTCATTTTTTCCTCTACGGAAGTCTGGTTTGTTTACTATTTATTACACTAGGTTGTTGCTGATGGTCCCTGACCAATGAATGATTCACTGTATCTTGTGTAGACGTCGGTTAATAAACACCTGTTTTTGGTGGATGATGGTTTTGGTAGTTCTCCACGTTTCTACTTCATACAATAGAATTGTTTTGATGTTCATATTGAAAAGTATGACTTGAGTGTTGGTTTGCAGTTGGTGTTCTAACAAGTAGCTCACTAAGTATTGAGTGTATACCTGTAGTGAACCAGAACACAGGTGGGGCAACCGGATTGTATTTAACGAAAATTACAGAGTTACTCAGTAAAATCGGAAAACCATATCGTACGTAAATCGTTCATTTGCAAAATATCAGTTCATCATATCAAACTGGACTGTTCCTGTTGCAAACAACATCAACCCATTGTCACTATTCATGCGTTTCATACAAATTCCATTGTGTTCTATCTAACTCTTACTTTCTTGATCTTCCCCCATCTTCTGCTGCCAGACATTACGTTGACACTCACGTCATATACTACTTATAAGTAGCTCACACCACATACCAAGTACAACAAGCATCGAGTAGGCTAAATACAACATATATGCTCACAACAATATTAAAACGAAACAACTGATTCACAGATAATGATTTGTTTGAGAGAGAGAGAGAGAGAGAAATGCACGGATCGGTAAAGCAAGGGCTGCATTCCTACAATTGAACAACATCAGCAACTTACAAACAACTATCAACCAACATTGAAGTCAAAATTTTCCATACAAATGTCAAGACAATTCTACTGTATAGCTCCATCACCAGGAAGATATAAGCATTTATTAAAAGTTGTCTATGCAAAATACTCAGGATCCATTGACCAGATACTAACCAGATAGGAGCGCTGGAAGTGGATAGGACACACATTGAGGAAAGCATCCAACAACTGCATCACAAGACAAGCCCTCTCTCTTGGAATCGTCAAGGTCAAACGAAAAGAGAAAGACCATACTATACACTACGCCGAGAAATGGGGACAGACATGAGAAGAGTGAACAGCAATTGAACAGAACTATAAAAGGAAAGGTCGAGGACAGAGTTCATTGGAGAGTGTTGGCCGGTGGCCTATCCTCCTCTATTAGGGGGTAACAGGCGTGAGTAAGTCAATAAAGAGACAGAGAGAGAGAGCAAATAGATATTTACCATGAATAACTTACTTCAGCATTAATAATCGCATAAGATTCATTAACTTCTGTACTAACAATCAGACCATTACGTCGTGTTACCATAGCAAGTAATGCACCTTGAAATTCCGCTGGTCCAGATATTTCAACATACATAATTGGCTCTAAGATTAACCAGGAACCTTCATCCATAGCTAGAGATATACATATATACATAGTAGAGGAAAAAAGAGGGAAATCAATATCCGCCGGCAGCTAGCTAGCTATTCAGTTCAACAAAATCACGCTATTCTTATTATTTTATTGAAAATATGAATTATTGTTATTAGACGGCCGTTAGAACCGTGGAAGCCACGAAAGATAGCCCTTTCGACCTGATATGGGACTATTGCTCATCAGTGACAGTGTGCATCCACGACTCCTTCTACTGTCAGAGTTCGAACCCAGGAAGATAATGGTTGAGGTTGCGCGAAATCTTTAGGTTGATGAGAGTTATACACTACCACTGTTGGATACTGCCAGCTCGGTGGTCCAGACGTGAGGCGTTCACATGCGAGACCGACGGTTCTGGGTTCGAATCCTGGGAGTAGAGTGAGTCGTGGATGCGCACTGCCACTGATGAGAAGTAGTCCCACATACGAGGACGAAACGGTCGTCTTTCAGTGCGTCCAAGTTTCAAGTGGTAGTCTGGAGGAATGGTTCAATCATATTATTATTATTATTGCTATTATTATAATATATTCTCATTGAATAATTATTAAGCTTTTGATTGACCCATGAACTATTGTAACGCATTCGAAACCTTACTCTCTAACAAATTCTAGCTTCGTTTATCAATTTGTCTTCAATTCATGTTGGCTTTATTTCTGATTGTTGTCTATTGCCTTTCTCTATTGAATTAAGTGCATTATTCTATGTGCTTACTGAGTTGGTCGGCTCATCTTTTTCTCTTGTTCTTTCTTCTTCTTGATAACTGCTCATACGTTGCTCCTCAACTGTCCCGAGCACACAAGGTACCTCCTTAATCTTTGGTCAGTTCATCATTCATTCATTCATAGACTCCCTCCCCCAGCGCCTCACTATTCATAGCCACTTTCAGCTTACTCATGCATAAAAATGTATTTCCTTACTAGATGCTCTGACCACCTTAAGCAACAATGCAAGCATGTTCGGGATGCGGTTTTCCTCCTCGAAATGCAAAATGTTGCTTCAAGACAGGGTTGCATCGGAACCTGAACTAGTGATAGGGAGTGAAGTATTAAAACGTGTAGACCGCTTCACTTATCTGGGGAGTCTCATCAGTGCTAATGGCCTGGTGACTGACGAAAACTCAGCTCGGATACAGAAGGCTCGATTGGCTTTTGTCAACCTGCGTCACCTACGGCGCAGGCAAGATGTCCGTTTGCTAACCAAAGGACGAGTATACTGTGCAGCAGTTCGCTCCGTCCTACTGTACGGATGCGAGACTTGGCCATTAAGAACGGGTTACAAGTCTTCGGTCATCGATGTCTCCGAAGCATTGCTCGTGTATCGTGGACAAACGAGTAAGCAATGCTGTCGTTAGGAAACGACTTCTAGGTAAGGATGGAAAATCAATAGATGAAGTAGTGAAACTTCATCAGTTGAGGTGGTTGGGACATGTGTTACGCATGCCCAACCACCGACTGCCTCGACGAGCTATGTTTTGTAGTGTAGGAGTAGATTGAAAGAAAGCTAGGGGCGGCCAAACCAAAACATGGCAGAAATCCATGAAGTCACTGACAAGTGGACTGAGACATGTTGGTAGATGTAGGCTACCTGGTTGGTGTCCGCAAGACGATAGTCACCAATGGTTAGAGACCTTGAACGACATGGCTCAGAATCGTTTGCAATGGCGCTGGTGAATCCACTCTTTGTGTTCTATGAAATTTTAAGCTTCTGCCTTCCTCATAATCTCTACCTTTCTCCTTCTAAATTTATCTCACTGAATTATACTTCTCCAATCATATCTTCGCTCCCTAATCTTCTCCATTACTACTGCTAATACTTCTATTATTGCTATCACTCTTGAATTTGAACTGACAGTTGCGTCTCTGTGTTGATGGAGCATGACAACTTGAACTGATGTACTTACGTACGAAGTTCAGGCGTTGTATCTCTCTGTCTGTCTGGTGTGATGTAGTCTGGTACCTTCGATAGTATATCAACTATGTCTGTTCAATATGTAACGAAGTTTTTAGAGGCTGACTGCAGAAGCTATCTACTTGTGGACCAATAACGATTTACAGTTGACTCAATATTTTCCCCCGTGGCGCCAAAAACATGAAATCTAATTGGTGTTTTTCTGTATTTGTCACATGATATCTCGATTGACAATTAGCTAGACAACAATTTCAAGTGGTGTTGATAATTTAAAATAGTCAAACTTTGTGAATTCGAATATTAATTAATTAATTAATTAATTAATTAATAATAATAATAATAATTATTATTATTATTATTATTATTATTATTATTATTATTATAAGGAGAAAGCAACGAAGTACAATGAAGCATTGACTGTATTCAATGATCAATATTGCTTTATTGAACACACTGAACATTGAACAATGACGTATTTTCTTTTTCATAATAATAAATGTTTACCTTGTTTCATAGCACCTTCAGCTGCTTGTTGAAATGCCCAATCACTACTATCTACACAATGATTATCACCATCTTGCAGACGAAATTTTACACCGGTAATTTTTTGTCCAGCTAATTGTCCCACTTGACATGAATTACGAAAACCAGTTTCAATAGCTGGTACAAAATTTTTTGGTACATGTGTTCCAACTGTTTCATCGGAGAATAATAATTTTGTATAAGATTCGGGCGGTAATGGTTCAAGTATACCAATAACTCGACCATATTGACCAGCACCACCTGACTGTCGTTTATGCAGATAATCAAATCTAAGTTTAAGGAGTAAGAAGAGGTGAAACAAAAAAAGGAATGAATACTGTTGAGGATGTTAGATCCCCAAAACTCGCTTGATAAATGCCCTATTTTGGATTCTATGTTTGCCAGCATGGGCTGATCAGTTGGTGAACTTGAGGTTTCATTTCCCACCAGGAAAATCCACGGCTGTGTGATTGGCTGCTGTGTATTTTAGTGTGCTATTTTCGTAACTGTCCCACTAGGACGTTTGTTTGATGTATAAATAAACGAGAGTTGTATGCTTGATTGTATTGTGGTTGCTAGGTGTTTGCAGAATATACTTCCTACGCTTACAAAGCCTTCTATCTTCAGTTTGGGATTCAAGGTGGCCTACCTGGACGCTGGTAAAGTCTCGTTCGCTTTTATCGACTAAGGTAAACTCGTAATAGCCTCAAGCATACTTAGTGACAAACAAAATAAAATGAATGCAGAAGAGGAAAGTAACAGACTCGTTGAACAGAGATATGAACAAGTTCATATAATTGGTTTGATTCTTATTTGAAGCCATGTCAATCAGTAAGTTAGTCAGTCAGCTCTACAACGTAGAACTTCGTACGTACGTACGTACATTAGTTCAAGTTGTCATGGTTCGGTCCACTTGTCACTGACATCAGGAATTTGTACCATGTTTAGTTTGGCCACTCCTAGCTTTCTTCCAGCCTAACCGTACATCACAAAGCATAACTCGTCGAGGCAGTCAGTGGTTGGGCACATGTAACACATGTCTCAACTAACTCAACTGATGAAGTTTCACCATTTCATCTATTGATCTGCCATCCTTACCTAATAAGTCTTTTCCTAACAACAGTACTACTTACTCGGCACTCCTAGGATATACGAACAATACTTTGAACAAACCTATGATCGAATACTAATTACGTATGAATAGCTTCTACTCTTATTTGCCATGTTTCACAGCGAACTGTACTGTACATTCGTCCTTTAGTCAGTAAATGGATATCTTGCCTACGCCATAAATGACACAAGCTAGCGAAAGCCAGTCGAGCCTTTTGTATACGTGCCGACATTTCGCCAGACACTAGGCCATCAGTACTGTCACGCCTGCACGTAAACACGTCAACTTGATATACTTGAAGCATATTAAGAGTTTACCTAGTCGGAAACGCGAGAGCGAGGATCCGGTGAAACGACATGCTACTCAAATCCGATTATCTCAACCTCCATATTGAGTAAAAATAAGAAGACTTGATATGAAGTAGAACTTGTATTCTACAAGCATCCAGAAAGTACGAGGTCCGAGTGCAGAAGAGAATCAGGATCCCGAGCTAGGGATCCGGGACCGGGTCCTGATCCTGGTCATAAAACGTTACACATAATGCGTATTTATACATTTTGGTCGAGTAGGAAACAGCATCAAGGTCTGTGACATTGACATTTAAGACGACCAATAGGAAGCAATATTTGAAGTGACATTGATAATCAGGACAACCAATAAGAAATAACATTGGAGCACATGACATTGACATCTACTAGGACGACCATAAAGTTGACCAGTAGGAATTAACCAATAGGAATTGACCAATAATTCTCTTAGGATATCGGGTGAATATCTTAACAAGTACTGATGGAACTCCCAAGATAAGTGAACCGGTCAACACACCCAACTACTTCACTTCCTATCCACTAAGTTTCGGTGCCATAATATAAGCCAATCCCAGAGCAACAACGGAATATAAAACAATATCTGAAATATTCTTAACAGTCATCAGTCAGTCAGTTGCAACGTAAGAACTTCGTACGTATGTACATCAGTGTTTATGTTGCCATACCACTAACATTAGCACACACAGAGACGCAAATGTCAAATCAACTCCTATAGTGATAGGAAGATAGTAAAGGGAATTAATGGTAATGAAGAAGACTAGCGGGTTTGAAGATATTATTATTCAAGAAGTATAATTCTGTTGA